TTTTTCTATTTTTAATTAACTTTTTTTGTTTTGGGTTGGAAAGCCTGCCCCTCCCCCTCCGCCACAACCCCAAAAACGACTATTTGCAGTCAAACAACTGTCAAAATTAGGCTAACATAGGAAATAAGCTAATTTCGTTTTATTTGACCAAGATTTAGCTATTTGCTTGTGATGGTTGAATAAAACATGCCTAGTGTAGTGGTAGTGATAATCAGACATGGAACAATCGGCTCTTAAGCTCCGTTCAAATAATTTGCTTAAGTTTTACGAGATTTGCTTAATTTTCTAGGCGATTTTGGTAAATTTCATTTTTTGGTAGCGGCAACACTGAACTCGGGAATGTAATCACGGCTGCCACTTACTTCTTTTTTGTGTAACAAAATTTGAAAAAAGGTACCAAAATAAATTTTACAAATATTCAAATATTTTACAATTGCACACACATTGTTAAAATCTATTTGCATGTGAAACCTTTCTCCATACAAAACAAGCGATTGAATAGCAGCTTTTGGAATGTTCGGCCAACTCAGNAATCAAACAAATTTACCAAGAAAGAAAGTTGCAACAATTTTTATTTTTTTAATTTTTATTTTTATTTTCTGTATTTCACATGGCACGCTTTGATTGGGACGAAAATATCAGAACAGTTCTTGACGCTTTCGATACCAGAAGCAACAACAAGATACACCCAAAGGTTGTTTTTGCACTAATGCTACCTGTTTTATATGCCTTGGCACAGGCCCATACCAGTGGAAAATATGTATCAAAAACTTAACATTTCGGGAGAATGGCAACCGTGAATGCAACAAGTAATCGCTGAACTTTAGAAAAAAAACATTGATTCAAGATAGTTTAAGCCAGTAAAAATGATAGAAAAGTTAGCACTTAAATAATTTAACAGAAACTGCAATTAACCGATAAATTTGTTACATACTACACCTCCTATTTTTAAGTTCCGTGGTAAAATTTTTGCTAATAAATTATTTACGTTTTCTTCCGCAAGTCCTAATACCATGTTCTGACCGATATCGAAAACATGTTTTCGTTGATAAAACTGGTTTTCGACTTAAAACTTGTGTATTTCGTCTATGTAAAATCTGTCAAACGATAACCAGTTTTCGCTGAAAACTACTTGAAAACTCACGTTCCACTCATTCCAATCGGTGTCTGCACTAGTTTTTTTCGATTATTTGTCGAAGGGGAAGTCATATTTTATCATCTTTAATACGTCATTTCATATTTATTGTTAATTGGCTGGCAAAAGTAAAACAAGAATGAAAGTAAGAGGTTGCTAATGAAAAGAAAATGAGGGAAAAGCATTTTGGTTTTGTTTTTGTGTAGCAAAACTGTAATCAGAGGATATAAGAAATGTCAACGAAAACACTAACAGCCGGTGTGAACAGCCTTCAGCCCACAATCCCAAAACACGTTTTCAAAGTGTTTTCGTTGTCGGTCATAACATGGTATAAACCACTGCTGGCAATGTTCTTTGACGCCACATGGACTTCAACAAGATTCAATAACGGAAAGTTTGCTCAGAAAGAAGTTTTCTCGCTCCCTATTGACAAAATCGGCTCCCTTATCAAGGCCCTGCGTGTGGGTGCGTGTGTTTGTGCAACCTTTTGTAAGCGACTGTCAAAACTCTAATATCACTAGTGAGCAATTCTTTATGCCATGTTCTGACCGACATCGAAAACATGTTTTCGTTGCTAAAACTTGTTTTCGACCTAAAACTTTTGTTTTCGTCCATGTAAAATCGGTCAAACGAAAACCAGTTTTCGCTGAAAACTACTTGAAAACTCACGTTCCACTCATTCCAATCGGTGTCTTCACTAGTTTTTTTCGATTATTTAACGAAGTGGAAGTCATATTTTACCATCGTTAATACGCCATTTCGGATTTATTGTTAATTGGCTGGCCAAAGTACAATAAGAATGAAAGTAAGAGGTAGCTAATGAAAAGAAAATGAGGGAAAGCATTTTGGTTTGGTTTTTGCGTAGCGAAACTGTAATCAGAGGATGTAAGAAATGTCAACGAAAACACTAACAGCCGGTGTGAACAGCCTTCAGCCCACAATCCCAAAACTCGTTTTCAAAGTGTTTTCGTTGTCGCTCAGAACATGGTATTAATTATTGAATCATGGGACTTCAAAAAATCGCAGACTTATGAAAAATAAATATGTAATATGAAATAGAGGCAAAACGATATTAATGGCGCTTGCTGAATAACTAGTGTATTAGAGCTGTTCAAGACGTTGTGGAAATGGTCTTGGATTTTCAGTTCGAATTGCATTTGCAAATTTTACGCCCGCAGCCATGGCAACCGTGTGCACTTTATTGTTGTGAATTTACAAATACCACGAATATGCAAATGGAAGAGCATATTCACAAGATCCTAACAGCCCTATTGTCTTTATAATTGTCTAGACTATTGGTGGAAAATTATCGATGACACTATCGATATTATCGATGGTGCATCACTATCGCAACTATCGATGGTGCTGACTATCGAGAGTACCGATACTATCGACGATATTTCATTCCTATGTGCACGTGTAAAAAACTGCATAGCGTAATGGCACAGAACCAACGGATATATACGCACAGAGTAGGTAAATAATTTTGCGAAATTGTTCATACATACGTATTTACAGAAAAAGCAAAGGGATTGAAAAAATGTACAAACAATTTTTGAAAGCAATTCTGTCATTTGGATCTTGATTTTATTCGAATTAAAACACTTACTTTTAACTGAGATTGTGAGATGGATTAACGATAAACATATATAGGGGATTCACTTAAACTCGTAAAGTCTTAAGCTGTGTAAAACTCTTAAGTTTAAGAGGCTGTTACGGGAACGCCCCCTTTTGCAAATGTGTAAATAGGTACGTAAAGTGACTGTTTNATCACTATCGCAACTATCGATGGTGCTGACTATCGAGAGTACCGATACTACGACGATATTTCATTCCTATGTGCACGTGTAAAAAAATTCATAGCGTAATGTTACAGAACCAACGGATATATACGCACAGCGTATGTAAATAATTTTGCGAAATTGTACATACAACAACATACAAACGTATTTACAGAAGAAGCAAAGGGATTGAAGAAATGTACAAACAATTTTCGAAAGCAATTCTGTTAATTGGATCTTGATTTTATTCGAATTAAAACACTTATTTTTAACTGAGATTGTGAGATGGATTAACGATAAACATATATAGGGGATTCACTTAAACTCGTAAAGTCTTAAGCTGTGTAAAACTCGTAAGTTTAAGAAGCTGTTACGGGAACGCCTCCTTTTGAAAATGTGTAAATAGGCGCGTAAAGGACTGTTAGACAGGTTGGAAAGGGTTTTGTGAATACATTTTTGTTTCGTAGTATTTTTCATAACAGCCCGTCAGCTTGAATGTNAGGGTTTTGTGAATACATTTTTGTTTCGTAGTATTTTTCATAACAGCCCGCCAGCTGGAATGGAAATTAAACTATAATTAAAAATGCGAGAGAATTAGCAGAAAACCCATGTTAATACAGTTAGTTGATGAAATTTATTAATTTTATTCACCTATTATTTGCTTCATTTGTTTTCAGTATTTTACCATACATTTTAGTATAAAATCTTCGGCCCCTCGGCAACACTGAAGTTTAGGAAGTCCTTTGCGCATCAAATTTTGACAGTTCTTTTACGACGCTCGTAAATTTACGAGGCTATTACGAGTTTAAGGGAAGACCCCTATAATTATTTTCATTTGTGCAGTATGTGGCAAACTATAGCGACTAACGATAGTGATTCCCTATCGGTTGAAAGTGACGATCGACACAATCGATAGTTGCCTAANGTATTTTACCATACATTTTAGTATAAAATCTTCGGCCCCTCGGCAACACTAAAGTTTATGAAGTCCTTTGCGCATCAAATTTTGACAGTTCTTTTACGACGCTCGTAAATTTACGAGACTTTTACGAGTTTAAGGGAAGACCCCTATAATTATTCTCATTTTTGAAGTATGTGGCAAACTATAGCGACTAACGATAGTGATTCCCTATCGGCTGAAAGTGACTATCGACACAATCGATAGTTGCCTAAAAACCATCGCCAACTATCGATGGTGTTCACTATCGAATTTATTATTACTGTAGGCTCTGTGTAAATTGAACCGCTCTTCACAGATGACAACAATTGCATACACACAAATCGCCGTGTGTAAATGAAACGAGAAACACCAAAAGGGAATGTGAAAAATCGCCTCGACAAGAGCTTCCGTGTATAAACACAGTCTGNAACCGTCTACATAACTTCCAGGAAATTGCATGCGTTTATATTGACATAAAATAATTGCAGTGATAAAGAAATAATGTTATTTAAAAATTTCTGTAGAGCATTTTGTATTTTGTATTTAATATTTAATATTTACATTTTAAATCTAAAATCTAATTATAAGAATGTTAAATCTTTGTTGCAATATAAGTCTAACAGACTGTAAAAATAAATAAATAAAACCATCGCCAACTATCGATGGTGTTCACTATCGAATTTATTATTACTGTAGGCTCTGTGTAAATTGAACCGCTGTTCACAGCTGACAACAACAATTGCATACACACAAATCGCCGTGTGTAAATGAAACGAGAAACACCAAAAGGGAATGTGAAAAATCGCCTCGACAAGAGCTTCCGTGTATAAACACAGTCTGAACGGGTTCTACGCCATCTTGTTTCACTGGAAAACGAGCGAAAAGTAAACAAAGCAAAGGGCTCTGTCACACGGTCAGTATTTATTGACGGTGTAGCATGCAGTGCTTGCATTTTTTTCTTTATGCTTCATCTTCATATTCTTTGTTTACTCTTCAAAGAAAATAACATGGCGCCGAAATTGCAAACATCAGCCAGAAAATTACTTTTTTCTTTTGCTTCATCTTGTCAGATATTGTGTAGTTGGATCATGTCGGTTGGGTACATTTCAGGGTAAAAACATTAATTTCCAACAAGGTGGCAACTTTTTTGACGTCAAGTGCACGAAATTCGCTGCTGGCAACATCTTTCTTACGGCTGCCAGCTAAAAAGAGCCTGCGGTGGAGATATTTTTCGCCGTTTAAATTGTAAGTTTTTCGCATTTAATTGCTTGATATTGCGTTAATTTTACATTGTGTTCAGAAAAAGGGTAGCATTAACTAATTTATAAAAAAATTTGTTACGTGCGCATAGTAAATTCTGTGAAAAAAGCGAGTTGAAAAGTGACTGCAATTCGGTGTGTGGTGGCAAAATGACAGCGCCATGTTGGCCAAATGCGAATGCATACAGTCACATCTAACCTCAAATTAAAACATTGAATTAAACTGTATAAATATTTTTGCAATATTCGTCCGAATTATGAAACTTAATACAGGCAGCCTCTCAGACTCACAAATTGATTTAATATAATCCTAGGTATAGGAAACTCAAATAAATATAATTTCTTTTACTTTCTATAGGAAACAGGTTCACGCCCATCATTCTATTGATTAAACGACTACTAAAAGCAAAATATGTCGCGTTTCTTTGCCACGGGTTCCGACTCGGAGACCGAATCCAGTGATGAAGAGGTCCCAGTACAAGCATTCAGTAAAGCGCCCAATTTTGTAAGTTATCTCAACTCGAAAAGAAGGTATTTTATTTAAAAATGTACATACTTGCAGCAATTTAGTGACGATGAAGAAGAAGTGAAACGTGTTGTCCGTTCAACTAAGGAGAAGCGTTATGAAAATTTGACTGCTATTATCAAGAGCATACGTAATCATAAGAAGATTAAGGACATGGCCAGTATTTTGTCAAGTTTTGAAGACCTGACACGTGCCTACACAAAGGCATTGCCTGTCATTACCAAGGAAGAGAAGGGCGTCACCCCACGTTTCTACATTCGTTGTCTTGCCGAGTTGGAAGACTTCATCAACGAGGTATGGGAAGACCGTGAGGGACGTAAAAACTTATCGAAAAACAATTCAAAATCATTAGGTACATTGCGTCAGAAAGTGCGCAAGTACATTAAGGACTTTGAGGAAGATTTAACACGTTTCCGCGAGGCCCCCGATCAAGAAAGTGACGCCGAAGAAGAGGAGGCTTACGACTCCGATCAGGATAAGAACGACATTGGTTCGGAAGTTTTATTGCGAGATCTGAAACAGCCCTCTGAACCAAAGTCGGCTAAGGCGGCTGCGCCGTCTAAGTCAGCTGATCACGACGATGATTCGGATGACTCCATTGACTGGGGTAGTGATTCGGAGTCCGAATCCGAATCTTCGGACGATGAGAACCAATATCAAAATATGCGTGAGCGCTTCTTGAAGCGCCCTACCGGCGAGAGGGAGGAAAAAGAGGATCGGGAAGATCGCAAGAAGGAAAAACGTGCTAAGGAGGCCAAATTGCGTCGCAAGCGTGTCGAGGAAGATGCTGATGAGGAAGGTGAATGGGAAACTGTCTTCCCTCACACAGTTGAGAAGCCGAAGATGTTCGACAAAGATGCCGAAATCGATGTGCCCCTGACGCTGCAGAAATTGTCCGAGATTATGGCTGCACGCGGCAAAAGGCGCACCGATCGTCGCATGCAAATCGAGCTGCTTTTCGAATTGCGCGACATAGCCGAGCAACACGAGCTCGGTAATGCCGTTGCTGTGAAGATTCACTTCAGTATCATTTCGGCCATTTTCGACTATAACCAGAAAATCTCCGAACCCATGAAATTGGAACATTGGAGCAAATTGCTTGATGTTATGCAGAGCATGATGAAGATTTTGTTGGCCAACGACGACATTCGCATGAGCGAGGAGGTGCAAGAGGAGAACGAGGAGTTTAGCAATCCACCGTATGCAATACGCGGCTGCTCACTTGCAGCTGTTGAGCGTCTAGACGACGAGTTCACCAAGCTTTTAAAGGAATGTGACCCACACACCAATGACTACGTTTCGCGCTTAAAGGACGAGGTTGTAGTAACTCGCATCATCGAGTCTGTTCTGGAGTATTTCGAGCGCGTTGGGAATAATAACGAGCGTTGCCGCGTTTATCTGCGCAAAATTGAGCATTTGTACTACAAGTTTGATCCTGAAGTGCTTAAAAAGAAGCGCGGCGAGCTGCCACCAACAACTGTCACCTCAGTTGATATCATGGACCGGCTCTGCAAGTTCATCTACACCAACGACGACACTGACCGCATACGTACACGCGCTATACTGGCGCACATCTATCACCACGCTATGCACGACAATTGGTTCCAGGCTCGTGACTTGGTCCTTATGTCGCACTTGCAAGACACCATCGATGCGGCAGATCCATCGACGCGCATCCTTTACAATCGCATGATGGCCAACTTGGGCCTGTGTGCTTTTCGGCAGGAGAATATCAAGGATGCACATCATTGTTTGGTCGATTTGATGGTGACCGGCAAGCCGAAGGAGTTGTTGGCACAGGGTTTGCTTCCACAGCGACAGCACGAACGCTCCGCCGAGCAGGAGAAAATCGAAAAACAGCGTCAAATGCCATTCCATATGCACATTAACTTAGAGCTGCTCGAATGCGTTTATTTGGTATCTGCTATGCTGCTGGAAATTCCCTATATTGCTGCACACGAGTTCGATGCACGCCGCCGCATGATTAGGTAAGGGATCATTTAGAATTTTACTTCATCGACGTTTTGCTAACGAATTCTCATTCTACAGCAAAACGTTCTATCAGCAACTACGTTCTTCCGAGCGCCAATCGCTCGTAGGGCCACCCGAGTCGATGCGTGAGCATGTCGTCGCAGCCGCCAAGGCAATGCGTTGCGGCAACTGGAACGCCTGCGCCAATTTCATAGTCAACAAGAAAATGAATACCAAGGTGTGGGACCTGTTCTATGAGGCCGAACGTGTGCGTGATATGCTGGTGAAATTCATCAAGGAAGAGTCGCTGCGCACATATCTCTTCACCTACTCCAACGTCTACACCTCGCTGAGCATCCCTTCGTTGGCGCAAATGTACGAGCTACCAGTGCAGAAGGTGCACTCGCTTATCAGCAAGATGATCATCAATGAAGAGCTAATGGCCAGCCTGGACGACCCATCCGAAACTGTGGTCATGCACCGCTCGGAACCGTCGCGTCTGCAGGCACTTGCTATGCAGTTTGTAGACAAGGTCACCAATTTGGTCGATGTAAACGAGAAGGTCTTCGACATGAAACAGGGTAACTTCTTCCAACGTGGCAACATGGGAAATCGCGAACGTGGCTACAACCGCAACCAGAACAACCAGGGCGGCAACTGGGGCGGGCAGCGTCGCGACAACCGCAACCAGCGTAATCGCAACCAACGCAATCAGCATCATCATAATAAGCAACAACATCAGCAACAGCAGCAGCAACAACACCACGATCAGCAAATTCAACAGCAACATATTATCGAGGAGTAAGGCGTTGCGCATCAGCGGTACACCCGTGACTCGGCAAGCAGGCAGTGAAGTAGAACAAATCAGCAATAAATAAATTATTTATAATATAAAATTAAATGATGCGAACAGATGTGAAAGGCGTAGGAAGTAGCAAAAAAGAAAACAGCGGCGTGTACTGCTGTTGGCGCACTCCCGCGTCATTGCGTTGTGCAAACTTGCGTGAATAGGGGTGGGAGTGCGCCATATCAATTTTTTCGAGACTGAAGGCTCATTACGTCTACATATATGTTTTAATTATTAAAATATTTTTTACCCGATGCAGAATTGCATTTTAAGTAAATGAATTTGTTTCTCCCTTGGTAACATGCTGAATTTGAGTATTTAAGATTAACTGCTTGTATTGTAAAATCAAATAAATCAATAATCCAATGACATCAATATTATTATCGACTTGTGAATATGTATATCTATATTACCATTGTATGTAGAAAAGAATTGCACGAATACCAGATAATGAAAATAATCATTTGCAAAGAGAAATTAAATACAACAACGGAAAGCGCAACAGCTGTGACTTTCAATTAAAGTTCTCGAGGGAGCTTAAAAAATCGATATACGTAAATTGAAAGGCGCTTGGGCTTCTGAGAAAGGATAGTCTCCATATAGAATTCACCTGGTTTTCCTCTTTCTCAGCTTCCCCTTCTATTGTAATGAGGAGTGAGCGAGCAACGGAGTACGTAATTTATATATCTGACGACATCTTTACGACCAGTCGATTTAAAATTCTGCCATAGTGTGGCCCAATCGACATGTTGTATTTAGGACCACAAGCAGGTCGGGTTCTGAAGTCGGAAGCACCCCTTTGGACCCTACGGCGTGCCGACAATCTATTAACGGCACCCACTAATTTGAGATTTATAACAGGACTGCTTACGGGTTACTGCAGTCTGCGGCCCGATATGTGCATACCCTAAGGCTTAGAGCAGACGACTCTTGGCACCAGAATCCTCACGCCATCACCCCCCTTACACTAGTCGTCTAAAGCTCATAAATTTGCCTACACCAGCAAGTCGTAGCGAAATGCAAGGTATAATATTTATCGCAAAATTAATGACAGGTTGATTAATAGTCCAACCCTTCTGCCTGAGGTAAACTTTAATGTTTTTGAAGCCATGCAAAACTAATTTTGCAGCCGTCTGAACTCGTACTTATCTGTACACGACCGCGACATACCAAATACATGTCTGGCTTGTGAAGGTTCACCGACGACCCCAACTACCACTTCACCTGTCCACTTAAACCCACTTTGCTAACACCCGCATTCCTTTGGTTCAGCCCTGGCGAAAGATGACGTTTCCTGGACCTACCGTTAGTTAAGCTTGACGACTACGATTGGTGAACGTTCTTGCTGTTGTTGTAGAGACACTACTAAGCCCCGCCTATTTCGGTTTATCCATCAATCATTGTATTCAAGCTCAAGTAACGGTAGGCCTAAGAAACGGACAGTTTCAACTGGGTCGGACCAAAGGGAGAGGGGTGTTAATTGAGTGGGATTAAGCTGGCATATGAAGATGTGGTTGGTGTCTCCACATGTCGGGATATTGGGGCCCGAGTCTGGACAGGTAGCTTTTGAGGCGGCTACAGTATCCAGACAGCCGGGTTTAGCTGCTGTTTGATGAATTTTTATGCTGTTACAGCAAAAGCAACAACGATTGATGGACTAACCGATTTATGCGGGTCTCGGTAGTGCAACAACGAAAATATTCTTGGGATTACTTTCTGAAGCGTCATTCGTATATAGAATCTGAACTCGAATGCCAAACGTTTTGCCAACTCGCACAACGGAAGAAATGATTAGAAAATCTTAAGGACCTACAACTTCCAAAGCAGAGCCAAAAAACTACGGGCAGCTGCGAAGTCCCTGTCCAACCCGTCGAAATTGAACAGAGTCAAAGCACAACGACTGAATATGTCGCCATCAACTTCGTCTACAAAACGCACACCTGGAGGTACAGACAGCTCTTAATAAAGCAAAATCCTCAAAATCCAATAACGTAGATGGCATCTTCTTGCTGAGGGCGAAGCAAATAGAAGCGCCAGGAATTAACCACAGATATTTAATCCCAGAGGTACGGAAGAAAGATAAAGTGAAATCGGGGAAGAACGTCGAGCTGGGCGAGTCCTGCAGGTCGATCACTCTGCTCTCACCAGTGTTCGGGGAACTAGGCCCTACTACTCTGGGGTGCTTGACCTGTCAAAGAGAAACGTTAATTAAGGATATCCCATCGTCATTACTACCAGCTATTACAAAACGACAGCCAGCCATCGATGGTATTCAGAAATATGATCTTAAAGCCCGCGATGACGAACAAAAACCAATATTGTGGTCTGTAGGCATCAGCGATACGCTTAGACGATGAAGCCAAAGCACTAATGGTGAAGGAAAACAAGCTGGTTCTACAGTTTATGCCGGGCTGCCACACAACCAACCCAACTGACTCCACTCTAGTTCGGCTGTTGCAGCCAGAAAAGATCCGGGAATCGTTGACACTTGTCAAGTGGAAAGATTCCACACAACACCGCTTACGTGGTTTTCTGACCTACATATATACCCAACTGATACCCGAGCCGCTCTAGACGTAGCCAACGGAGATCGCGCACAGTTGTTGGTATGCAGACTTTCAACAGAGGTGGACGAAGTTGGATACTGAACATTTTTTCAACTTCCCATAAGGAAGCTTCCTGATTTAGCCGTGGCCCGGCCAGTATCGGCGGTAATTGAAAGTGAAATACGTTCTTAGGAAGAACAGTGTTGACCCAGGGGGTACAAAATACATACGTGGATTACTTTCAACTTACATTGACTCTCCACTAGACCCCGCCCAATTTAAAGGTAAAGACAGAACTCAGCGCAAAATGCCTGTTTATGCAAATGCATTTACTCGCTCGAAGTTTTGTTTGCGAAAAAATAAAAAAACAAAAGTAATTTTTAAGCAAAAAACAAAACCGACTTCATTTCTCATATAAAAATTTAGGAGTACCGTTAATTTTTTTATGATCCAATGATCGGATCTAAACCAGATTGGTTTCCGATGCAAAAAGAATTATGGAAATCGGTGGACGTGGTCCAAGTTATGCGGTAACATACATAAAAAAAATATGTATATATTCCGACCAACTGATAACCTCCTCCTTTTTTGGAAGTCGGTTAAAAAGGAATCATCATTCAGACGTAATGAAAAATGACTTGACTGAAAGGGGGTTTATGCAGCAAACAAAGGTGAAAATACGCGGAAGCTTTTTCAGTTCAAATGATTGTCACTAGAAGCAACAAAGATCCAAGAATAATAGAATGCATTATTTTCTGCATCTGACAAAGATCTGCACGATGAAACTTCATAGCGAAGAGCGTTTACGTCAGTGAATATCTCCAGCGCACATGGGCCGCATATCATTAGTACACTGAAGACGCAAACTAAGATGACAAAGAGAGGATGTAACATCGATATTTTTTTTTTTTTGAAAAGTCTTCCCAACCTTTTCCCCTCTCATCCCACTAACTGGCGAGTTACTTGGCGCGTTCTTAAAGTTGTCCAAATGCAAATGCAGGGAAGAAAATAAGTAGATGAATAAGCAGCAGACGCCTTCGGCAGAATAAGCGATGAGTGAAATGCTTTTCAACTGCGCAGCTGCCACGAATTCCGTGAGCTCTCCAAAGGTTATGTATGTATGTATATGTATAAGTACACATGGATGAGTAAATCTATAATAACTATATGCATATAGGTATATATAACTCAGCATTTAAGTAGGAATGAAAATAGTGTGAATAGAGCGAGTCGCCACCCACTCCTCCCTGCGCCCTGTGTGTGCACGCGAAGATTCCCCCGAAGCGCTGAGCCCCTTGGAATTCTCCGTGTATGTTTTTTTTTTCTTTCTGTGCGCTCAGCGAATGATGCGCGCCTCCATTGAAGAGCAGCGCCAGCCAACACCAAATGGCTAGCGGCTGGTATCGACAGTTCTACGGTTGAGCTCAAAGCGGCAGCAAGTGTACGGCGAAGACCCACCGAAACCGACCGAATAACAATCAATTAAAAGTGAAGAGAATTTTTTTTTTCAAAAAAGTGCGCATTGTGCAAAAAATAGGCGGAAAGTCTTGAGTAAATTGCATTTGTTTTTCTTTTTGTGTGCCAAATTATTTAGAAAAACCAATTAGAAAATTTAACAAAAAAAATCTTGTACTAAATTTGCTCAATAATTACCCAATCAAATACAAAATTTCAAACAAAGACAAAATGTCCAAAACGCCCACACAACAGCAACAACAACACCAACACCAACAACATGCGCCACCCAAAGAGATTCCGGCGTTGAAACGCGCCGCGCTGCAAGTGATGGCCGGCGGATCGGCCGGCTTTGTGGAGGTTTGCATTATGCAGCCGCTGGATGTGGTCAAAACGCGCATGCAACTGCAGAATACAACAAAGGTCGCGGGAGAGGTGGGTAAAACCTCAACACGAATGTATGTGCGTGGGTGTGTGTGTGTGGAAATCGCGCGTGTGTGCGTTCGATGATCGGCGCAGAGGGGAAGTGGGAGAGAGTCGCCAGCTTTGGAGGCAAAGTAAAAGGCTGTAAATGTGTGAGGTGTATGTTTTACAACTGTGCGTGTATGTGTGTGCGATTATTTACGAGTGTGCTTGCCTAATGGCAATTGATGACTGGATAGAGTGTTAATTGAATTTTTCATAACGATTGCTGTTTTTAGCTAAAACTTAGGACTTCTGCTGATAAGATAAACATTTCGATACAAAGCGTTTGAAATTTAAACGATGTACATATGTATGTAAGCATAGACCTGCATTTCAACCAATGAAAAAAAAATTTGTAAAACATTTTTAAAACATAAGTTTTACTTAAATTTTTTTTAAGCAAAATTGAAAGAAAAATCGCCATTACATCTTCGAACCAGCTTATAAATTAACCCAGCGTAAATAAACGCGTTGGATCGGCACATCACCCGCATCGAACAGCCTCGATAGCTTCCCGCTCGCGCTCTCGGACACCTTTCTCCTCCACCTCGCATTCGATATTCTTTGCGTCCTACTATTTATGTAGCTACTTATCCAACATTGTCATCAGCATTGACATTGTCCTTAATCATTGGTAGTTAATTTGTAACAATGAGCACAAAGAAATGCAATGTTTAATTCGAAGAAAGTGGGCAGAAAAAAATAGAGTGAGAGTGGAAGAGCGCGCGTATGTCATCTGGCAATTAGAGCGGGGGGTACCGCACTGGGCCGTGGGCGGGTAAGCGCAAGGCGTTACATTCCGCCAAATTCTCGGCCAATTTGGTTGCCTTTGTTAATCTCATTTCGTTGGCTGATAAGAAAAAAGGCAGACCAGCCGGTCTAAGGTGGCAGGCGCTTCTCGGCGTGCGTCTTTTGTGTTGGTATTCTTTTATCTGTTGTTTTTTTATTATTTCAAAAACAAACAATGCCAACTTATCGTATGTTTAATAATAAAACAAATGATAAGAAAATAACAAATTTTTCTAGATATGCATCT